TCCGGGGCGACGTGGCTTCTAACAAACCACGTCATAATCGAAGCAACCTCAGTCTTGGAAAATACAGCCTAAGTGGAACCAGGTCCAGTTAACGGGATATTCATCAAATGTGGCACCTGTTCTTGAGCCAGAACGCAATACCCGTAGCTCGGAATGCCGTACGAAACATAGGATATGCCTAACTGTATACACGTCAACGTCCTCGCTATCTAGCAAGCAGTGCAGGACGTAAGCAGCACTTGTTTTCAAACGGCTTGGGACCACAGTGATGCAAGTTGCATTAACTGCCATGTAAAGCAAAGTTTCAGAAGCCAAGTAACACACCATGGGCAGTGCACCGAAAGAAAATGGCCACGTGTACGATACCGTTTGTTGTGCGGTAGGACATTCTGTTACAACCGCCACGTTGAGCAGTGTCTGCTTGCCGTCCGATTTCGTGCATAACGGTCGACGCAGAGTAGTTGGAGGAATACTATTGCTTGCTGTGTCACAGGGCATCCGACTCTAAACACATTGTCCGCATGAATCATAACAGCGTGACCCAACGTTTTTGTCAAGGACAAATCCTTTCTGTCACTGACCATACTTGTTTGCAAATAATAGAAAAGGGACACATGCGGAGGTGGAAAATGACTCCACTTTGCTCAGTTCTCGAGTTTTATTAAGGCTAGGAGATTGCTCACAGCCGTTTGTTCATTTAGCTTGTTCGTGTATTGTATGACGTAAGTAGCCTTCCCTGATCTGCCAAAAACGCCGCCGATGGCTTTATTGTTCTTGAATCGTTTGGACTACCTAGCTGTGGGGTAATCGTAATAAAAGATAGTCAGAGCGAGGGCCTAAAATCGACAAAGCGTCAAGAGCGCAGCCCATGCCGCTGAGCAATTAGGCGGTGCGACGACGCAGACAGTGGGCAATTAGACGGTGAAACTGTAGCATATTTATGAGAAATGAATTGGTATTTTGATAAACTGATCAATAAAAGGGGTGCGCTATGAACCGGGTAAGCAATAAAGCGGGTTACTTTGTGTAGCACATGTGTCTGTTGGAGGAGAGACAGCAATCAGCAAAGCATGAACTTCCCAAACCGTACGATTCTTCACGGTGGGCCGCGAGCAGGTTTAGTGCATAGATAAACGTCGTTCTCAGGCAGTATACTTATCAGGTTGACAAGTTGAGTCCACATGTCAATATGATATGTTATATATCTCAAGATGGTTATCTGTACCATTTCCGTGGATCCCGCTTCCCTACTGCGTATTGCAATAATACTTCCCTCTCATAGTACATAAACGAATGACCGTTGTATTTGTACACTACTGCTTGTGGCTTGCACCCAAACAAAATGCGAGACTTGTCAAGCACTCTTTTCCATGCACGTGCTATTTTATTATTCAGTATAATTGTCCCTCTAACTCGAAATGCAAGCAGTTCAATCGTGGCACATGCACTATGACTGTTCTTGTTATTGACCGTCTGCAGTTAACAGCGTGCATTTTCACAGTTAGGCAATCACACCGGTCTTCAATCAGAAGGGTTATTGCGCTGCGGTCATCGCATCTGTAAGCACCTGATCAACACTGGACATCAATGTCGTGTTAACTACTCATTTGCGGTTCTCCTAGTTGCCCCATAGGGATGCTCAGAGGGACTCAAAAGGCGCTTCTCGATTAGCTAAGCGTAGTGTAATTTCCACACCAACAGGAAACGAATAAATTTTGAAGTCCCAAAAGTACATAGAATGCCTTCATTTTCAAGCGATAAGTTCAATACAAAGCATAAGAATAAATTGGTTCATTTGAAATCGTAAATTGATGAGATGAAAAAACATTGACAATATGTGAACCTCATTAAGTTTTCTCTGATTACGCTTGATTGCATTAGTATCCCAGTTGAAATACTTGATCCTATCCGGACAGAGAAAGCAGGGCAGCTAATTGCCTCTGTTGCCTCCGAAAACACGAATGTTTGAGTAGCGTAAATAAGATTGTTGTTCTTATTGTTCTCGACCGGTTAGGTCTGGATAAAGCAAAGTTGTCACCCGCGATTTTAGTGAAGAAGCTGCAGATACTTGCTTGCAATTTAGAGCGTTCACAGCACAACATACGCAGTTTAATGACATTTTGATTAAACCGGAATGAAGACCCATCCGAAGTTCGGTAATCGATAAAGTGCCGAACAACGAAAAAGACGACTTGGGTCATTTGTAACTCTCTGTCACATGTCCCAACCCTGAGCATACTTAGCGTGTATACTAAGTGCATCGAAGTAGACATTGGAAAGTTATCTGTAATGAAAAACTTTCGAATGCCATTATTCCATATTCCACCAAAGGCTTTTAGTGCAAAGAACAGATAAACCGGATTCTTCTACTCTTGACAGCAGTAATCCCATTAACATAAATTCTTTATGCATACAGATTAAAGGAAAGTGCAGGCGGTTGGAATAGTGGAGGAATACAACTCGTAGGATTACCACAATCCAGACTAAACCAAAATGTCATGTCCAAGGGTAGACAATTTGTTATAAAAATGGGCCTACTGCCGCACAAGGAAGAATTTGTAGTAGGAAGGAATACACGAGTCGAACAAACCAGGATCCCATCGCCGCGGCCGGCTATCCAAACTCATCCGCCCTGTTTGGGGCGAACAGAGAGCCAACCAGGAGAAGCGGCCAGTGAACCCTAGGTTGAAGTTCGTATGTTGGCTGTAAGTTAACCTTTCCAGAGCCTTCCACGGTCGCTTTAAATATACTATTCACGAACTTCCCATTTTACCTTTATAATGAACGGTGTGATTTGCTAATTCATTCCTGTTACTCTGCTCGTCCGATTCGGTCTTCTGTCTGTCCTGTGGTGGGCCAGCTACTTCGGGTTTGATTGGCAATCAAGCGTCCATTCAGACGAGGGAGGAACACTTCAGCTGGCGACGAGTTGAACCCTAATCAAGATGTCCATATCGGCTGACGAGCTCAAGGCCATTCTGCTGCAGCAACAAGCACAATTTGAGGCATCCCAACTCAGGCTGATCGAAACTCTTACGCGCCAACTCTCAATCCAGACCGGTTCACTGTCTACAACCGTCAAGCCGTCCGCATCGGTAGACGCCATCACTAACAGCATTACCGAATTTTCGTACGACCCTGATGCTGGCCTCACTTTTGAATCTTGGTTCAAGCGTTATGAAGATGTGTTCCGCGTTGAACTTGGAGACCATGATGACGATTGGAAAGTCCGATTGCTGTTAAGGAAACTTGGAACAGCAGAGCACTCCAGGTATGTCAACTTTATTTTGCCTAAGAACGCTCGAGACTGCACTTTTGAGGAGACTGTCAAATGCTTGGGCCAAATATTTGGAGAGCAGTCATCCATCTTCAACACGCGATATCAATGCCTGAAGATCACCAAGGTGGACGCTGATGACTACGTCACTTACGCTGGCATCGTCA